CATGATCCCTGCTTAAAATTTATATATATATATATATATATATATATAGGACAAGATATGATTAAGCTGTTGAAACCGCTCATGGACTAAACTAACGAATACTAATTATCAAGTGGTAGTTTTACAAAGGCATCAATTTATAATAAATAGGAATAACATATTTTTGTGTGTTTGTAACAAGGTCTCTCTCATTAACGTTTAATATTATAGAAATTTTTAACTGCAATTTCAAGAAGTTTTTATTATTATATATATCACTCAATTCTTCTGTTGCCTTATCTTGATAGATTATATTAATTTCAAACCGAAAGGTTACTCAAACGCTTTCTTAATTATTGAGGTTGTGTGTCTGCCTCAGAGGCAATATTTTTTAATGATGGATGAAACTATATTTTGGTCCAATTCTCCTTTCATTGCATATAATTGGTATGATATCGTTTCTGCAGTCTGGTCTTTTTTTCAACAAGGCCTTGATGAGTAAAACTTGTCCTGCGTCCCTTGCAATTATATTGGTTTGATGTTGTCCAGAAATTATTTTAAAAATAACCCAAAATAAAGCCTCGTTTGAAAACTCTAACTAATCATCAAAATGGAATGCTGCTGGTTTATTCCCATTCGTACAGTGGAATATGAATTTATTTGCCAAAAATGCTTACGACTTTAAGATTAAATTAGTGTTAACTTTCTTGATTATTTGAGACTTTTCATCAAATGCTGAGTTTTGGAAAAAATTACTAGACAGTTATATTTCAGGATAGCTTCTTCAATTATTTCAACGAATGTTGCTAAACTGCCCAAACCGACTCTCGCTTATTTGCTAAAAGGCGTTTTTTTATTGTACTATTCTTACCCTAAACGTTGATTTTTATTATAAATCGCTTACACTTATGCTTTACATTTATGTTTAGGCTAGACAATAGTATATTCTTTATAATATGTCTCAAACGAGGATGCATAAATGGCAGAGAAAAATTCAATTGTACTAATTAACAATTGGCTTGAGATATGCAGCTGATCTAAGCACAAGGCTATTGCTAAAAAAAGGATAATTTTGCATCAAATTTTTTATCAGAGCATAGAATATATGAGAAAAATAATCAAAGATTGAATTGAATCAGTTTAAAAGAATACAAAAATTAATTTTTTTCTTAAAAGTCAAGAGCGCAGAAATTTAAAGTTATGACTTCTAAAAGATTACACTGCTTCCTTTCGTTAATTTGTATAGCTGGACACATTTTCCGAGATACTGCACATACACAATAATAATAAGGGCTATAGTGAACATTAATCATGATTTTATTAGAACCATCTCATTAAATTTTAGGCTTACTTTACTGTCAATGACTAGCATTTTA